TGCGGGGAACTCTGCAAAAAACGCATCTTCGCACGGGCAGCCCGTGCGTTGGCCAATTTTTGTATAATTGGCAACCACTGATGATATTTTAGCACTGAAACCAGACCAAATGTTTCACCACTCATACAGCTCTGGTACCTTCCACTGTAACCTGTAACCTCGCTGGTGAGGATTTTGGGTCAGCGAATAACTTGGATAAGCTTGGGGAAGTGGGTACCTACACATCGAAACATGCCAGCTTTTCTCTAATTTGCTCAAGAGTAAGTAAGACCAAATTAAATGAGTAGGGGTGGAGATTAAAGTAAGAAATATATCAGATTAAACTGAAGGAGAGTTTAACAAGTAAGATCAAACTTCCGATTGAGGGATGACGAAGTTTCAAAAAAATTCAACGCATACTTGTGGCATCTCGAATGGATCAAAGCCTTGCTAAATGACTCATTTGGGAGAACTACTGAGCTGGTAATCCCTTCAAAAGAAAAAAAAAAACGAAAGCCAGGACTGCTAACAGGTAGACCACAAGGCAATACAACATTGATTAAAGCAGCGGGAGATTTTACCCATATTCACATTTAAAGAATCAGGCTATGATTTTTGCTAATTCTGGTTCCAGGAAAATATATAAGAAATTAGGAAGATGAAAATTAGGAAGGAGAATGTATAAGAAATTGATGTCAATGAATCAAGTAACTCCGTTTGTTTTTCCGGACCGTTTGGACTTTGTTTTGAATTAATTTTAGTCAGGCGTCAAAATTATAGTTAGCTGAGTGCTAATTAGCTCCATTTTCCGTCTATACTACGTTCATCTGCTACCTATTCAATGATAGCCTAAGAGGCTGCTTTTCTCACAAGTCTCTAGCGATATCCACCAATTATGAACAAAGTATAAGCGATTCCACCCTGTCCCACATGCTGGATTTTACATTTCGATAGTTCTGTGTCTGTTTAATATGGCAATCATAGCCAGATTTTTGTCTGTTTTCATCAGTGATCACTTTCGTATCCAATGGCAGTTTGACTCCTTGATATATGCCAGTACCAATTTACCATCGAAACGAATAAACGAATCGTAAGGGAATTGGTTATCCCACTGAGGAAGTGGTATAATTGGGGACTGAGCCTGAGACTAAATGGCGTCATTATTTGCAAAAACCGATCTTTTGAAGGCTTAAAAATGAACAGATTGGTTTCAGGATAATTTAATCGATGGGATTTGTCGCTCGACAGTGTCACTTGGGTTCTCATCTTTATATCCGGCCGTTCTTCCAAAACCATACCAGGCTTGTTTTATTTCATCCATTTTATGCGTTTTTGCATCGCTGATACAGCTGAACTGCATTATAGTTGAAACCATGTCCCCCTCTGTGTTTTATGTTTTTTTGTTTTGTGATTATGTTTGTTTCATGTGTGTACCTGTCTGTATACAGTCGTCTGTATACATGGGTTGTGAGTATTTGTGTGTGTCTTGTGTGTGTGTAAGTGTGCGTGTGTGTACGTTTGCAGCACCCTATATAAGGAGTTCTCTTTGACAGTTTTCTCACTGTTTCTTCGTGGTGTTGTTCAAATCGGTCGACTAATAGAGCGTTCAGCTTCGCCTCATCTTACAGGAATACAACACCCTATACCAGAGTTGCAACAAAAAGCTGACATTTATTTAATATTAAATACCAGGTTACTTTGGTTTAAGCAGAATCATAAGCAGTCTTCAAAGCGCAGATACTAGCTAGGAAGATGAAATTTTATGAAAGTTTAAGAACGAATATGTGCCGATTCAGATAACCAAAATCAATTTTTGCGGTATCCTGAATTCTAACATATTAGTTAAAGTAACAGTGCAACAGAATGCATGAGGAGGGTCAGAAATAGGTTCCGTACATGAGGAGGATCCGTGAAAATTGAAAAGTTATTTTGTAGGATATCGTAAAGATCTGTGAGACCGACGAATTCATAATAATTGGCTCATGGGCACTGTGGAAGCACATCTCACCGCAGCAAGCTTGCGATGCCGTCCGAACAATTTACAATCCTCAAATTGCTGCCAAAAAATTACAGGTATTTCTTGCTTGTATATCTTTCGCCAAACAAATTTTAACTGATGAACATAAAAAATCTTTGCATGCAAATAAATCCATGAAAGAGAAACCCCTTTTTGTCCTAAAGATCTGTTTCTGTAAAAAAAAAATAGCATAAGGATAGTATAGGTTAAGACTTTGGGAAAAAAGTGAGTAGCTGCTGTCCTGGAAATGCCTGCTCTGTCAGCTGCTGTCCAGAAAATGCCTGTTATGTTAGTCCTGATTGTGGGAGACCAATTCTTGGTAATCCATGAAAAAAGCGAGCGCTGCCTAAGCAGAGGACTATCACGGAAATCCGGGCAAAATTTGAAGAGCATGTGCTCCTTGTGCGAGCAGCGTCAGGAACTATAGAGCGTTACAAAAGTGGCTTACATACAGATTATAGGTACTTCAGTAAGTTTGTGGAGCACAAGAGTCGTCAACTGCGCCAAATTCAGTCCTTTTGCTTTCGGAATGAATTGCTTTGTGCTGTTTAGGATATGGTTCAATCACTAGAATATCCTGGCAACGTAAGCATCATTGTTATTCGCTTCAAAAGAACAATGGAAAATTTCGGCGGTCGAAGCAACGACACAGGACAATTATATAGAAATGATAGCGAAACATCAATGAAATCAAGTAATTGTTTGATACTGCCGCATCTGTAATTATTTTTCGAATGAAAGATAACTTATAATAAAAAAATTTATTATTGATTTCAGAATAAAAAGTATTTTTTTTGCATGTAATTCACGAGTATTATTTAAAATATGTATATGTAATTTGCGCAGAATTTCACTGTCGAAGTCCTCAAAGTGTCAAACCGAAAGGACCGTGGCTACCTTTTCAAAACCGTTGTGCTGAAAGCACCGATGTACGGATGATAAACGCGATCGCAAAACGTGGTCACAAAACCAGCATTCGCTCTTACGAAAATTGAAAAGCGAGCGCAGGTTTTGTTTAGTGAGAGTGAGTGATGTTTGATGTACCGCATTGTGAACATTCTCTGCATGATAAGCGGTGTGCACGATATCATTACAATCATGCAAGAAAGTAAAATCCAGAAATCAGGGCGTGTTTTCCGCTTTGTCAACAGCGATTGATGGGCGTCGCGCATTCGTGAGTGGTACCCGCGAGAAAGAAAGCGATCGCTTGAGTACCGCTGAAGAGGTGGCAAATATACATCAGAGAGGCGCTAGGAACCTAACTAGATTGGATCAAAGGACCCATTCTGTTGCGTAGAGTTGTTTAAGCATCCTAGTAACATCATCAACGTGGAATACCCAAAGTGATGCTCAGGTGTTACTGGTTTATATAATTTGCTTGCTTACATTTTGTATTATCCCGATGTTTTCGATTTGTTTCGAAAATGATAGTTCTGCTTTTTCAGAAAATGACATCACTGTGCTGCGAAATATTGAGGAAAGGCTGGAACAGATCGGTGAAGCAATAAATAAGATCGATGAAGATTCCAACAACAATCGTTCACTGTGCTCCGGTCTTGAGTTCTGGAACAAAAACGGGCAGCTTTATGGAGCTGAAGTGTTGCCCAGTAACAGCACAGCGGGCACTTATTTTCGTCCCGGCGCTAGGTCACTATCGCTAATTTTCTGTTTTCGCCCTAACCAATCATTTGCAAGCGTTGCGTTGGACCTGTCTTAAAATTAGCCGGAATTTGCCTTTAAATCAAAACAAGTTCCTCTCTTTGCAAATTCGTATAAACAGTTTAAACGGGCTTTATTCGGTCATCATTGATTTGATTACTTAAATTTACAGTTATTTTATGATTTGATTTCGTTTT